ATGTAAATATAAATGGAAAAAAAAAAAAAAAAAAAAAAAAAAGTTATGCAATTGGTGTTAATTGTAACGGAAATGCACTTGCATTAAATAGCAGAGCTGGAACCGGTGTGAATCTCTCCACGTGAATCATAGACAAAGCATCTGGAAGATGACCTTCTCGAGCTCCCACGAAGAACAACCTGCAGCAGCAAGAGACTCACTCTCTTCAAATGTATATGCATCATCTATAAGTGCACCTAATCAGGATTAATATAGTTAATTAAAACCATAAATTTGTTACTTAAACTCTAACTGAAATAAAATTTTATTTTAATTTTTTTATTTCAGCTATAGTTGCCAAGGCAATGTTTAATTTTAAATGTAGTTTAACAATGTACTAAAATAAGTAAAACTGAAATAAATACATATTTCAGTACAGACATTAATAAAAACGACAAAACTACTAAAACATTTCAATTAAATGAAAATACAACTAATTGGAAATATAATCAAATCTACAATAGTATATCAATGATATTAAAATAACGCTGCATTTAATCAAAAGTACCGAGAATTCAAATCAATTGAAATAAGTGCATGGAGAAAAAAAAAAAAAAATCAAGATTGTAAGAAAATGAGTTTCTCATTTACACATTGTTGACCTTAAAATCGATTGTATTTCTTGTTAGATGGATTTACACATCTAACATACTCCCGCATAATTGATGTTTGTACATTCTGCTCAGCGACTACAAAAGAAAAATAGCCTTTAGGCTAATTCGTGCACATTTACATTTATGCTAATTAGTATGCACTGTCCCTGTTAAATAATAAACTAAAGGAAATAAAAATGTTTAAATAGCTAATGAGAGAAACCGTAATTCAAGCCTTAAAGGGATAGTTCACCCCAAATGTTATAATTCGGTCAAAATTCTTTACGTAACTTTAAGCCTGTATGATTTTCTTTCTTCTGTAGAATATTTAAAAAAAAAATTTTTTTTAAATCAGTCATACAGGACAGGATTGAAGTGACATGAGGGTGAATAAACAATGAGGGAATTTTCATTTTTGAGTGTTTATCCCTGTAAACGGATTCAGAACTCATGAGAGAGCAACATTTGGCCTGGACACAAACAAGCAAAACATTTGCAAAAACATCTTAAAAATCCCAAGTGCATTTTTTACCTTGGAACAGTTTCACTAGCCCTGTGATGATAATGACGATGAGGGTCAGCACTTTGGCGTAAGTGAAGACATCCTGCACCCTGGTACCCCACTTGACATAAGCGGAATTAATAAAGGTGAGCAGGCCTGCAATATCATGAATAGTAAGCATGTTAGCATAAGAAAAAAATATATATGTTGGCAAGTACTCTGACACGGCAGGAATACTCTACACAGTTTTGCACAGCTTTGTGCCCCGATTTGGAGTCTGGACGAGTCAACACTGTTGCTGAAAGTCAGTCTGCAGATTTTAAGTAGTCGGAGTTGACAGATTTCAAGTATGGTGGGCACAGACTCCTGTTTTTTTTAAGCTTTAGACTATGATTCCATCCAGTCGGAGATCAAACATGTTTGATATTTTGAGATCACATTGATTTACTTCGTTGTGATCTCCTAGAAAAGAGGTGCACGTTTCTCTATTAATTTTTTGTTTTCCGAATGACAAAGTCTAGTAGTGTGTGATCCGAAGGCTTTCAGCATTTGATGCTCAGTTTTTCTCTGCAGCCATTTACAAAGTCTGCAACTGTATGATGCCTAGTGTTTTAAAACATTTTAAAATTGATGCAATGCATTCCATCCTTAAAGTGAATGACTACAATGGAACGCTGACTGTGTTTTTGACAACACAACATCAGTTACTCCCGAAAGACAGCAATAAAAAAAAAAACTATCAATACTTGAATGGATTAGTGGGGAGCAGTAAAAGTTTAATTGCAGTCATGGCAACTGTAATGTTTTCCTCTTTTAGAGTGGCATGTCTAATGACGCTGCTGAAGGTATCCAAGTGAAACCGGAATATGAGGAGAGGCACCACAGAACCAAAGGAACGGGCTCCCTGTACTCAAAAACAAGTTAGTCATTAACTACCCCATGACATTTTTAAAGTTAGACCTTAATGTGTAGAAAGAAAAACCGAGTGAGATAGACAAGAAATTTAAAGAATGGGAAAAACAAGGGTGTAGAGCAACAGCATGTACACGTTACTCACAAATACAAGCAGCAGCAATAAGCCGAGAAGCAGAATATGGAGGCTCGCAGGTGGGGAAGAGCGGCTGAACCAAGTAGTTGGCAAAAGTTATGGCAATTACAGCTTGGCCTGTCGGTTCGATGATAAGCAGCGATGTCCATAGACGTATAAACGCTATGAAGCCTCCGAACGACTCCAGGATGTAGGCGTAGCTGGCACCAGACTTCGTGATTGTTGTGCCCAGCTCTGCATAACAGAGTGCACCCACTACTGAAAAGATGCCACCGATGACCCAGATAACAAGAGACAGTCCATAGGAGGCGCTGTAGATCAGAACACCCTTTGGCGACACAAATATGCCGGAGCCAATCATGTTCCCCACGATGAGGCTGATGCCGTTCAGAAGAGAGATTTCCTTTTTGAGCTGCATGCTCTCTTTGGGTTTTGAAAGGGCTGCGGAACCCTCAGGCTGGCCATTCAGCTTTCTGGATTCAGTGTCGTTCTCCATCCTGTCCACAGGTGTACGTGTTGCCACGCGGAGACAGAAGGGGCCCTCGTCGGCCTTATCCAACCTGACAGAGAGCAGAAAAACTGAAGTTATATTAGGAACAATAGCTGTTGCTTAAAAAGGTATTTCACTGCAAAATGAAAATTCTGTCATCATTACTCACCCTCATGTCATTCCAAACCTTTCTTTCTTTAGTGGAACACAAAAGATGATCTTTTGAAAACGGTCTCAGTGGTTTTTTTTGTCCATACAGTGAAAGTCAATGGGATAGTGTTGCTAAACTAACAAATTTTTTTTTTGGTAATTTAAATAAAGCATAAATAAAAAACTAATAAATAGAATAAAATATAAACAGTAAACAAAAGACAAACCTAAAATGTTGTCTTGCCAACTAACAGAACTAAAAAAAGTTGAAGTATTAAAATGATCAAATTAATGAACTAACGCTAAATAGAAGTATTAAAAAAAAAGAAAAGAAAAACAAAGTTAGACTATGACTACAATGGAACGCTGACTGTGTTTTTGACAACACAACATCAGTTACTCCCGAAAGACAGCAATAAAAAAAAAAATTATCAATACTTGAATGGATTAGTGGGGAGCAGTAAAAGTTTAATTGCAGTCATGGCAACTGTAATGTTTTCCTCTTTTAGAGTGGCATGTCTAATGACGCTGCTGAAGGTATCCAAGTGAAACCGGAATATGAGGAGAGGCACCACAGAACCAAAGGAACGGGCTCCCTGTACTCAAAAACAAGTTAGTCATTAACTACCCCCATGACATTTTTAAAGTTAGACCTTAATGTGTAGAAAGAAAAACCGAGTGAGATAGACAAGAAATTTAAAGAATGGGAAAAACAAGGGTGTAGAGCAACAGCATGTACACGTTACTCACAAATACAAGCAGCAGCAATAAGCCGAGAAGCAGAATATGGAGGCTCGCAGGTGGGGAAGAGCGGCTGAACCAAGTAGTTGGCAAAAGTTATGGCAATTACAGCTTGGCCTGTCGGTTCGATGATAAGCAGCGATGTCCATAGACGTATAAACGCTATGAAGCCTCCGAACGACTCCAGGATGTAGGCGTAGCTGGCACCAGACTTAGTGATTGTTGTGCCCAGCTCTGCATAACAGAGTGCACCCACTACTGAAAAGATGCCACCGATGACCCAGATAACAAGAGACAGTCCATAGGAGGCGCTGTAGATCAGAACACCCTTTGGCGACACAAATATGCCGGAGCCAATCATGTTCCCCACGATGAGGCTGATGCCGTTCAGAAGAGAGATTTCCTTTTTGAGCTGCATGCTCTCTTTGGGTTTTGAAAGGGCTGCGGAACCCTCAGGCTGGCCATTCAGCTTTCTGGATTCAGTGTCGTTCTCCATCCTGTCCACAGGTGTACGTGTTGCCACGCGGAGACAGAAGGGGCCCTCGTCGGCCTTATCCAACCTGACAGAGAGCAGAAAAACTGAAGTTATATTAGGAACAATAGCTGTTGCTTAAAAAGGTATTTCACTGCAAAATGAAAATTCTGTCATCATTACTCACCCTCATGTCATTCCAAACCTTTCTTTCTTTAGTGGAACACAAAAGATGATCTTTTGAAAACGGTCTCAGTGGTTTTTTTTGTCCATACAGTGAAAGTCAATGGGATAGTGTTGCTAAACTAACAAATTTTTTTTTTGGTAATTTAAATAAAGCATAAATAAAAAACTAATAAATAGAATAAAATATAAACAGTAAACAAAAGACAAACCTAAAATGTTGTCTTGCCAACTAACAGAACTAAAAAAAGTTGAAGTATTAAAATGATCAAATTAATGAACTAACGCTAAATAGAAGTATTAAAAAAAAAGAAAAGAAAAACAAAGTTAGACTAAAATTTAAATATTAATTAAATAAATGACAACAAATATATAAACACTAATTCAAAATATTAACAAATACTATAACAGTATATAAATAAAATATTACAATAACAACACTACAAATGGGGTTCCGAGTTGTTTTGGACCCCACCGACTCTCAATGTATGGACAAAAACGGTTCTTCTAAGAAACATTCTTCAGAAAAATCTTCTTTTGTGTTCCACTGCAGAAAGAAAGCCATGCAGGTTTGGAACGACACGAGGGCGACTAAATATTGACAGGATATTCATTTTGGGACAAAATCTTTTGTGCATATTTGCTACTGCATGATAACACTGGAGGTCATGCAATTAGCCACACATAATTAAAAAGTCACATCTGGCCTCCAATGTCTACTGATGGTGTGAAGTCAGTACAGGCCAGTGTGATAAGTAGATTACATATATGCAAAACAAACTGATGAAAAGCTAGTGAAGATTGCATCATTGGGATTACGTAAACAAGAACGTATCTCTTTGGTCAAACATGTGCATAACCCACCTCCCACTCAGAAGCTAAAATAAATATATATATATATATATATATATATATATATATACACCTGGAGGTCATGCAATTAGCCACACATAATTAAAAAGTCACATCTGGCCTCCAATGTCTACTGATGGTGTGAAGTCAGTACAGGCCAGTGTGATAAGTAGATTACATATATGCAAAACAAACTGATGAAAAGCTAGTGAAGATTGCATCATTGGGATTACGTAAACAAGAAAGTATCTCTTTGGTCAAACATGTGCATAACCCACCTCCCACTCAGAAGCTAAAATAAATAAATATATATATATATATACACACACACACATTTAATCCTGAGCGCATCTAAATGAGGGAAATCACACGTTTACTTCTGACTTGCTGTTTGTTGATCCTCTATAAATGATTAAACATGACGTGTCCACTGCAGCCACCTCTCTTATTGTGGACAGCTGATAGCACATTCCTCTGATTATTTGACTTGAACCACTCACTTTAACATTCATCTTTGTAAAACACTCATTACACTAAGTGTGTCTGAAAACCAACAGTCCTCTTTGCTCGAATAGAGGGTAGATCATTTTAAATTAATACATAATATTGCGTGCAATTGTTAAACAAGCACGGATTAAACAGTTCCCAAATTCTCCCCAGAGAGCTTTCCTTCCCCGAGGCTTGTTTCCCATCCTAGAAGATGTTTCCCAGAACTGCAACATTTACAGAAACATCTGCACTCATGATACATCAGTATACAGTGGTAAAGGGCAGTCCACTACCATTGCCTTGGAAACTCAATGACATCAGTTTAGTTTCGACTTTGAATGAGCCGAGCGACTTTTTTGTGGGAACCTGTCAAGCTTTTGATTGATGCTCTTGGTGTTTTTTTTCTTAGTCTGCTCTTATCGGTTTGATACAGACTGACAAAAGTGCAAGATAAGATGTTTAATCCATACAGATAAATATTTAAATGGAAGTACAAACAATGTAGTGCGTGTTTGAATGCGTGTTGTTCAAGGGATCTTTCGGAGAGAGAGAGAGAGAAAAAATAATGTTTTGGAAAGATGCATTTTCCATGTTGCATCAGCTGAGTGATCAACACCCGTTCTGTTTGTCTGTCCTCACAGCCTCATTGTCATTCGTGTCTAATTAAATAAACTGAATAAGGACCATGACAGTGAGTGGTTTCACATACATCCTTTTAATATTGTTTGTTTGTTATTCCTTACTAAGCATTTTTAAAATAGTACACAATTACATTTATCATCTTGCACTGTTCTCAAATTTTTTTTTCCATTTTGTCAACACATAGCCTAACAACAGGCTAGAGAATCATTGTTTATGTAGGTATTCTTTTTAATACCTACATCTTATTTTGTTTATTAAAACTAAACGCGTCTTAGTTTTTGTTCTAAACAAAATAAGAAACAAGCCGATTTTAAAAATCACTCAAAAACCACCTCATCAACTTGGCACCCCGCGATCAAAACAAGTGCATACTTGGCAACCCTCTTTATTACGACAAGACGCACTTCAGTCGCGTTAAAGTAAAGAAACGAAAGGTCGGGCTCTATACAGAATAAGATGACACAAATATAAATAAACAAATAAAACCGCACAAGTGTCTGAAACTACATGACATGCATTAGGAGACTTTCAGCTGCTCAACAAAAGTGTAGCCTGTAACGTTACTGTGGGTAAGATTATATGGAGCGATGGGCTAAAGAATATAGCTCTTATAAATCCATTGTTCATAAAGTATATCTGGCATAGTGAATGACTGGAACTGGAATAAGCCTCAAGCATTTTGTAATCGATTGGATGATGAGAAGCGACATATCCTGTTTTTCTAACGTAGAGCGCAGCAGAATCTGAGACACGACCACTGCGTCTTTTTTACGGAGATATTTCCCCGCTCCGCTTTGTATTGAACATATTGAACACATTCAATTCATGCATATATGAGAAATAATCATTCAAATGGAATTATAACAGGATAGCTGCTCTAGCTGATTTACCACAACCTGCCCAGTTTTTAACGTAACGTTAAAAACAGAAACATGTCCTTACCTTGTTGTGTCCTTTGTTTATCGTCTCTGTCTAACTGGTGACATTAGCAGACAGGGCAGCATCTTTAAACCCTGAAGCACGGAGGGCATGCTGCCAGAAGGTCACGTGATACCGGTAAAATTGATGTCACGTGGATTAATTTGCGAATCAAATGAACTGACCAACCCTCTTTGTCAGCAAACCCATTCAGGTGTTGCCCTATAGCCGAAAGCGACCGATTTAAAAGTAATTAGTAAAAGTTATTTAAGTAGTTTCTGCTTAACGCTGGTTCACACCTGATATGTTCAAAGTCAAGCGATTAGCTTTAAATAGAGGAATAAGGATTTGCTACAGAGGAAGGGATGAAAAGAATAAAAGGCCTATAGCCTATATATGTGTGTGTGTGCGCATGTTTATGTGGTTTATGAGGACACAAATTTGTATAATAACATGGGTATGACATAGGTATTACAACGAGGGGTAGGGTTGGTGTAGGGCAATAGAAAATACAGTTTGTACAGTATAAAAAGCATTATGCCTATGGAGAGCCCCCATAAACCATAAAAACAAACCTGTGTGTGTGTGTGTGTACACACCTGTTTTTCTATTCTGGTGGGAACTTAAACCTGACTACACACAGACTCATGGGGACTCGTGTCACGGTGGGGACCTAAATTGAGGTCCCCACGGGTAAACAAGCTAATAAATCACACAGAATGAAGTTTTTTGAAAATCTAAAAATGCAAAGTTTCCTGTGAGGGGTAGGTTTAGGGGTAGGGTTGGTGTAGGGCAATAGAAAATATGGTCTGTACCGTAGAAAAAGCATTACACCTATGGAGAGTCTCCACAAGGATAGCAAACCAGACGTGTGTGTGTGTGTGTGTGTGTGTGAAAATTCAGCAGCCATTATTCTAGTCTTAATATTTTCTTACATTTTCTAAAATTTTCTTTCAGGATTCTATGATGAATAGAACATTCAAAAGAACTGCATTTATTTGAAATAAAAATCTTTAAACATTAAAAGACTTCACTGTCCCTTTTGCCCAATTTAATGCATCCTTGCTGAATAAAAGTATTATTCTCTTTTAAAATACAATTTCACTGACTCCAAACTGTGAACGGATTGTGACTGGTACAAGGTAAGATATTTTAGGTCCTGCAACTGGTTACCATTTCTTTTAATAACATTTTTAACACTAGTTCATTTTAAATGGCCCTGCATTGTGTAATGGTGTAATTAAAAAGAATATATATATATATATATATATATATTTTTGTTTTGTTTTGTTACGACCCTCCTTTGGTTGTTAGGCATCTAGGGACTAAGAAGGGGAACATTGGACCAGTTTTGACCAGTACCAGTTTAACACTCGGTGTGTGAAGGAAAATTACTAAGACTAGAGACTAAATCAAGTGAACTTACTTTATTATTAAAGACCGTGTCAGTTGTTTACACAAAACAAAAAGAGAATAAATATGTATAGGAAAATAAAGAATTTATAAAAGAATCCTAGACACACCGGCAGCTTTACAATATTGGAGAACTGGGGAGGTTAAAGGGAACCTGGATTGTGCCAAAAAGAAAAAAAAGTAACAAAACCAAAAAGAATCTAACTAACCCTTTTTGGTCTAGTCTTGAACTAAAATAAAGAAAAATGTGAAAAGGAAAACGTCTTCAACGTCCGAGACGTCGTAACTCAACTTCACTAACTAACCAAACCAAAAAATACAGAAAATGGCACAAATCCCTAACCTAGTGTGTCTAACAACAAAATCAAACTACATGGGACTCAAGCAGAAGAACACAAAAACAAGAAAATACTCAAACGACAAATCAGTATCACATAAGGACGTAACAATATATATATTGTCTTTTTATGAGCATGTAGCTTTACATAAAACAAGTCATATTTATACTAATTACATAATAATTGCTTTAAATATAATGATATTTATAATAATTATTCTTAATGAATAAACAAATGAAAAAAGGTTCTCTACAATATAGTAAGTATAATATGTCACATTCCAGGACGCTGCTGAAGCAACTTGAATTTTCAAGTCAAAGACATTTCATTGCAATGTGAGTAAAGGCCCCTATGGCAAGGACCATTCATGCCCTTTAAAACTAACCAGTGTAAAGATCATCCAGTCTATGTGGCATGGTATTGACCTTAGTAATACCAAGTAATAGCTGTTCTTCAAGAAGTGGATCTTACGTAAGAGCTCAGGTCAAATGCTGAAGGGACACATACTGTTAAATACACATACTGATATGTGGTAAAGACACAACAGTATATATTATAAAATATATTACCAGTGTGAACATTTAATGACATTTCTTATACAATGTTTATTTTGTCCATACATTCATTTTTAATATTTATGTATTTATTTTGATTTATACATGCCATGCTACAAACTGTACAGAGGGAAGAAAAAAAATAATGTCTTGTTGCAAGATACACTACAATCAGAAACTACTGAGTCGAAAAACCCCCCCCAAAACTTGCATCCTTGGAAATGTGGATTACATGCAAGATAAATGTGGTTATAGTAAGAAAAATGTAAAATATTTGATGAGTCTATCAGATGAATGTGATATATTAGGCTGTGAACTTCTCAGTCAACAGTCTCAGTGTTAACTGAGAGTGAAAGTTCACAGCAAACACTGTTAAGTAAGCATGATTAAGGGAAACAGCCTTACCTTTCATGAAGGTTCTTTTCAAAATAATCTGTTTTTGTGCTGTTGATTTTTTTCTCTCCACAAAGGAATGTAATCAAACCTATATTTGCCCATTCATCAGAACATCATTATCATCATCATCATCATCAAAGGCATTAACTACTCCCTTCAGTTTGTCAACTGGGAAACAATGACATCATCAGTACCCTTTATACTGGGTGTTAATCTGATGAGATCTTTAGATCCAAGACTAAAGCTGCATTGCAGCATACCCTTCCAGAGAGTCTACCCTCTCTTCATCTGTTACAGAGTAGTCCAAACAAGAACACACTAACAATTCCAACACATTACAGTGCCATATCAATCTGATATAAGTTGTTTCATGTGCAGTTACTGCATTTTTCCATTGCATAAGAGTAGCGGCACGTTGGCTTAATTTACCCAGCCTGCCACCTATGTGTGGTCTGAGTATTTTCGGTGGATACTAAACCTAAAGTTGTGGCCACCAAGATAGCAACATTTTCACCAAGGCAGGCACAGACATCAAGCAAACAGCGCGTGCGTGCGGTCAAGGTCAGGGCTGCAGTGATGATCTCGTACATCTCACGGGTCACAGCCTGTCTAGCCCGCAACACATCAAGTAGGTTGTTGAGTCGCCCCTCAGTCATGCAGTGAACAATGACCTCCCGTCTTTCTTGCAGAAGTCGACAACAGCTCCTTCCTGCAGACAGCTGACATTTAACTAGAGAAAGTGGAAGGATCAGAGTATATGATAACAGTGTAAGCATAGAGTTAGGAACTAGCACAAAGACAATATTTACACATCATTTTTATATTGTTCTATTATTATATGTGTGAGCAAAGCAAATCTGATCAATCTAGCTCCGCTCCGCTCACAGAAATAAATTACATTTTTAAATATATTGAAATAGAAACCAGTTATTTTGAATTGTAATAACATTTCACAGTATTACTGTATTTTGATCAAATAAATGCAGCCTTGGTGAGCATAGAAGAAGGGCATTTTAGTCAAAAACATTAAAAATAATACTAATCCCGAACGTTTGAACCATAATGCATTTTTTTTTTAAATTGCCTTCCCTTTTAGCCAGTTACTTTACTGCGACAAAACCTTCTGTACTACTTGCATTTCAATGAACAAAACAAGACTAATTCTGAGAAAAACAAAAACCCTCTGGGGAGGAAACACACTGGACACAGATAAGGCATGAGTGGGGTAGTCATTCAGGAAGCGAGTGAACACAGTCCAACAGAACTGCTTACTGCGCACATGTAAAGTCCCAACACAAAGAACTGATACATTTGCTGTGTCCAGGTAGTTATGCCAACAGTACGTACACAATATCCTCTTGGGTCCCTTTTGTCTTCTGTAGAGGACATTATATTTGAGTGAATTTCTCTGAGACCATACATGCCACAGTGTTATGTCTGGATGTCCTGTACAGAGCACATTCAGGGCTTTTTAGAGATATTTATGAGGTTTGATCATAAACACTCTTTGGTCTTTAAAATGGACTGATATTGACAGAACGATCAAACTTAGCATTATTAGGGAAATATGATAATATTGTGCAATTATCATTTAAATCTGACTAATTTTCTAATTGTTTGTCATAAACATCTCAGAAAAATGTTATTACTCACGTTACTGTAATTAAGTAGTTTTTTTCAGAAATTGTACTTTTTTGAGTAGTTCAAAAATTGTGTACATTTACTTTTACTCGAGCTCATTTTAAGTGATGCATCTGTACTTTTACTCCTCTAATTTCCCTCCGTTTGTGGTCATTAAATGCTTGTTTTAATTTTATTTTTATTTATGATTCTCAATTCTTTATCACAAAACGCTAAAACTGGCACCGTTTTTAACGCATCTCTTGGTGTGTGATGATGAATTCTCGTATGAGTTTGTATTCTTTGCATTGATCTAATATTTTATGTGCAACAATAGCATGCTTTGGCTGCAATTTATAGATACATTGTATAGAATGGGAATGCAAATTTATAGACATGTATGCACATATTGTATAAAGTAAAATAGTATATCAGATCATTCTATTATATCTAGCATAACATAGTTGAGCATCATCTTTGGACAAAGTTTGGTTAAAAACAGCCTCAAACCTAAAAACTGATTGGTGAATGAAAAAAATAAAACATTGTTTTTGCCTATACATGTCTTTTCATGTCTATTTATTATTTTTTTTATATCTTAGTCCTCTACAAAGGACATCGAATAAAATTTTAATAAAATATATTTTTTCAAAAATGTTTTTCTCCATTTGTTTCTTATGCTCCAACCAATGTAATGATATAAAAAACGACAAAATTCACAAAACTTTTTTTAATGGTTCTCAGGAGGATATGTACAGAATAAAATTTTAATAAAATATCCTTTTTCAAAAAAAAATTTCTCCATTTGTTTCTTATGCTCCAACCAATGTAATGATATAAAAAACGACAAAATTCACAAAACTTTTTTTAATGGTTCTCAGGAGGATATGTACACAAAGCTCCTCCAGATTTGTTTACCTAAAATACATCAGTCAATTAAGACTGACAAAGCGCAAAGCTCTTCCAGATGGCTTAAAGTGTGCAACAATGGCATGTTTATGTTCTTGGTCCGAACTCATATGTTGGAAATGTGCAGGACAGGAATAGAGAGTATTGGAGGGATTCAAAAACTTATACTGTTAGGACATTTTGGAGACAGAACTAATTTCTCACCCTGGTTGCCAGCGTTGTGTTGTGGGTTACTCTGAAATATCGTTGTGGGGGAAACACATGGGAACCTTAAAGATGTAGAGCTCTGTCTCTGGGGAACTCCGGGACTTCCATTAATCTGAGTGAAACCATGATCATTGCGGGAGTTATTGGATTGGACTGAACTTTTGCCAGTATCTATAAAAGACATGAGCAGGGAAAAACATAATTATAAGACAATTTATAGTAATGAAAGTGATCAAATGTATACAACATACTTTTAAATGAGAGATCACTAACCCCTACAACATCCAATCTGAGGACAACCCCTTGTTGCCTTTGGTAGAGGGGCCTTTCCTTTTGCATTCAGTGAAGACTCTGGCAGAGTTTCATTCTGGGGAATCACCTTGGAGGTCAGATTTTTTGTAGTACTTTTGCAACTATTGTCCTGTTGGTGGTAAAAGAGCACTTAAGTTTTGTTTTCCATTGTTTGCTTTGGAAATACCCTATACATTGAGCAATGTTTGTACATAGATTTTACTGCACAAAACATTGCAATGTTTAATAGAGTTTAGTTTGATTGTTTATTAATATTAACATGAACTATTCATATTCATTACTAGTTTTATCGTTTTAAAATTATTTACTAGTAATTTGCTACTAATTAATCAATATTATATAGTAAATAATCATTAGACCAGTAGGCTATATGAATATTTACTATGCAAAGCGCAGCAAATAAACGTGCAAAAATGATCAGTCACATATGATGAGTGAAAATGCAGTTTACCAATCCTTGATTAACTTGACAGCCACTTTGTGTCCTGTCCTCCCGAAATGTCCTCGCAAACACGCACCTACACTCGTTCGGACCAAAACTACATCGCGCAAGTCTTTCTCATCAATCATCTGCAGATGACTGGCCTGAGCCATTCCTCTGGACCCAGTCGATTTCAGCCCTGCCGGGATACTGAGAGACTGTTCGACTACATCCTTTGCTGTCACGAAAAGCAAATGAAAAGAATCAAGAGCCCAGCCCCATATCGCGTGCTCATTACACGTCGCTTGTTTATGTCGCGTCCGATTGGCTGTTGAGGTCCCAGAAATCCCCGGCTATTTGAACAAAGTCACGTAGTCTTGAAAAACAATTGCATTTGAACTAATAATTGATTCACCTGGGCAAGAGAGAGGGTAGCATCTTAAGCTTAAGACTGATAGACCGATTAAAGTCTGATATGCAATAAACATTGATAGCTTGCTGATCTCACTGCTCAGCTTTTTTTCATGCACATAAAGAAAAAACAAACAAAAGCAAAACAAAACAAAAAACCTGGCAAACATAAATGTCAAATGTAGGCTATGCTAAATGTTGTAAACAGTGAAGATGAATAAAATATATTTTTGATGTTAGATTTAGTTTCAACCTTCGTCTACCAAAATATACTTTCAAAATGTACTTCAGGGGCAAGAAAACACATTTTCAATCATACAGTAGCCTTGGATAAATTCAAATATGGATGGAACAACCTACTAAAGATCAAAACTAGACATAATATGCTTTAATAATGTTTCTTTCCCCCCCCCCCCCCCCTTTTTATGGACCATTGTAAAGTATGTTCCTTTCTGATTTTTCTTCGAATGTAACGTGAATGTTTATTTTATTTTATTTTTGGGGATTGAAATATATGGAGGGCAAACATTCATATCTTGGGAACAAATTGATTATTGGAGGAATAGACTGGGGGGAAATTATTGCTATGATTGTCACCTACTCAGGGTCATCTCAAGGTAAAGAGTCATTGGTGTGGTTCATGGAGTCATTTTAATAAATGCTAACATCTTCACAATGAGGATCGTCACTTTTTTTTGAGTATTCGTAATTTCTTCTTCTTTTTTTTCCCCCTTGCACCATTTTTCCTGAAAGTAATGACCGCATGAATAACATCATAGTAGCCGACCTATACAAAATAACTATAAATGGAAGACAACAAGGCAGGGGAGTGGAAATACTACAGTTATTAATTATTAACCACTTAGCACACATTTATCACCATTTTTAGTAGCCTGTACATCATGTCTAAATTGCCTCTAGTCATAATGATATAACACTGCTAACATATCCTGCTTCAACAGCTATGGGGTATATGAACTCATCAGTGTGACTCCTTCTTTCTCAACAATAAAAGCAGTTTCCTCTTTTTCTCAGATGTCTGCCGAAATTGCAAAAGGAAGTGTCTGCCACACACTTGGGGGTTTTCATTGCAAGGCTAAAGTTTATAATTAAGTCTTACACCACTTGCTGATCACTGTTCAGCATGACAAGTGAATGGGAAGTGATATTTCTATCTTACAGAAAAGGGGATGTCCAAAGTGACTGAATTTACAATAGAAAATGGAATCTTGTGAGTCATTTATTTGGTCACATGCTGTTATCTCAGGACAAAAAGCTATTGTCACTTTACTATTAACTTATTATTTTAACTGTTTTATTGTATAGGTTATACATTATTGTACATAAGAGAAAAAAAGTATTTAGAATTCATAACGATATTAAATAAAGATGACAGAGGTAAACAGACACTGACAATGATTAACGTTGTTGAGCTATCTGTTCTATCTGATAAAACTAATCAATACATTGAGCTTTTTATCCAAAAATGATTAAAACTTATCATTACTTGAACAATATGTTATGCTACGCTGCTCTCAAATGCACAAAGATAAAAGAAAGTTTAGAAGAAGTCCACAGGTAATCCACAAATACAGGGTATAGAGACCGAACCAAGGAAACACAAATGGAACTGAACTTAAGTAGGGGAGATAATGACACACACACACAATGAAAATGCTACAGTAAAAATGTATAAAAATGTGCATGGTAACAGTCAAGTGCCCTGGGAATAAGGCCCCAGTGCAATTTTTAATGCACCCTCAAAGGCAGCTGAGATATGGGTCCTCCAATTGGGCCAATAATGCAATTTCTCCTATTGTAGTGTCGTATCTGCCAAACTTATGGGTCCATAACTTCAAAATGCTACAGTAAAAATGTGTGAATATTTGCATGGTAACAGTCAAATGCTCTGGGAATGAGGGCCCAGTGGAACTTTGAACGCACCCTCAAAGGCAGCAGCGCCTCCTATTGGGAAAATAATGCAATTTATCTTGTTATTGTATTGTTATATCTGCCAAATTTATGGGTCCATATCTTAAAAATGCTACAGTAAAAATGTTTGAAAATTATCATGCTAACAGTCAAGTGCCCTAGGAACAAGGCCAATACTACAATGGCTCTTGTAACTGTCAGTGTCCATGACATCGAAACTGTACATTAACCAGCAATGCAATGGCTCTTTCAGTTCAATTAAGTTTAGTTCACATCTATTCATATACTTTTCACAGTACATGTTTCAAAGCACCTTTACAGAAAATTCATGTTTCTGTGTTACAACACCCAATAGTCTTTAATGAGATGATATCAGAAATTACAGTTGGAAGATGCTACAAGTTACAGTATTTACAAATATCATATATGCATTTAAGCAAAATTAATGTGCTTTTTATAGCAATGATCATTTTGTATTGTCATCCAGAGCTGATGTTCTGCAATCCTTGGACGGGTAGGTGTCACAGTCTTCAGCGGGTGTGCCCAGGAGGGCCACCAGATGACTGTGTTCTGGGAGCACATGGCTTGTGTTGTGGTTGTCTGTTGCCATGTGCTCTCTCCTGTCTATTGTCTGGCCCCTCCCATCTTGTTACCTCGTTATTGTTTAAGTTGCTCCACCTGTGTCTCCCTCGTTAGCCTCCTCGTTTGGTTCCTATTTATTCTCCTTGTGTCTGTCATCCTGTGCTGATCCGTCATTTCTCATTGTGTGTGTTTTGTGGCTGCATGTGGTGCAGCTTTAGGCCTGCCTGTCTGTTTTTCCCCCTCAGGGTGGTTTGAGTTTGTTTTTGTTTTTGTTTCATTTTCATTATTAAAATAAATAACTTTCTCCTGCACTTGAGTCCTCGCTTCATCTCCCCGCACGCACTGTGACAGTAGGTGTCATCTCTTCAAAGATGTTGAGTCATGTGAAGTTTTCATAAGAGGATGCATTCGATCAGAAGAAGGTACCTCCAGAGACAGGAAATGAAGCAGAATTTGGATTTGGATGTGCCTTGATGCCTTGGAATGCCGCCTCCAAAGGCAGGAAGGTACTCCGATACATTTTCTTGTGAATTCATGTGTATGTCAGTGATCCAAAGCAAGTGTATGTGTGTAAGTGATTACTCCAGAGTCAGTAAAACCCCTTTTATGTAACTTTCCACAGAGGAGCTGCAACTCGGTGAACAAGTTGGAGCTCAGATGAAAATCAAGCTGAACAAAGGGGAACGTAATGGCCGTAATGTTAATTTTCCACAGAACATCAGAATGCGATACAGGGATTATTCCCAGCCTGCATGATAAAGACAATAGAACATTCAAGCAGATCGTGATAAACATTTTTTTGGGGGGGGAAAAAAAAAACGTAAAGCAAGAATGAGACTCGGACTCTTATGTAGTATTTCATGTATAATAATTGTTAAACATATTGTGCGTTGGCTATGTGTATATATTGTATGTTCTATGCAATGTCATACAAAAAGTACCTTATATCATGTCTACTTGTTGGAGCAAACCACCAATGCAAATTCCTTGGTAAATGCAACTTATTTGGCAAGTAAAGTGAATTCTGACTGTGATAAATTGTGGTGGTGGTATTATGCTTTGAGGATATTTTATCTGTTAAGGTAACTGGAAAAATCATAAAGCTAATGGGTAGATACAGAAAATTCCTGGTGGAAATATGCTCAAGAGCACATGGGACTTGGATGATGGTTCATCTTCCAAACCAACAATGACCTGGAACATGCATCAAATACCACAGCAAAGCCCAGAATCATATCCCACTGAGTAGCCTGTAAAATAAATAAAAAAAACATTGCTTTCACATAGATTCCCTATCCGACTACAATTTGAAGATTTTTGCGTAGAAGCACAGACAAAATTCCAGTAGCAAGATTGAGAGATGCTCACACAGGCCTATTCCCGCAGTGGTCTCGAGACTGCAGCTCCAAACACCTGCCACCAGAGGTCGCCTCACTCAACCTAATGATCATTTTTAATATTCTGATTCACACCTACCTCATAGTCTTGTTTGCTGGGTTACAGTTCGAAGTGATTTAGTTTGTTTAATGGTCATTCTTTGTTTGTCATTCCTTGGGTTTTAAATGGAAAATGTTGCCTGTGTTTTTACTTCTCTGCATACATCCTCCTCAGTGTCTGTTTACACTAGCTAACTCTAACTCCAGTTATTTTCTCTTTTTAATGGATCAAACAAATAAAGTTTCTTATTTTGAATTAACATGCTCGAAAAGATGTTTCTAAACAGTAAAAGGTCAGGGCTGTTTGGCGTTTTCTAACAAAAGCAGAACCCTTTTTTTGTGCTTAAGTGCTATATTGACCTATAATGATGCTATAAAGAACTTTCTAAATAGTTTGTTTTTATAAGTTTTTTATTAATATGTTGGGTTTTTATCCATCTTTCTGCCTGGTTCTGTAAAAGATGTCCAATTTAACATGTTCAAAAAGGTGAGAAAAAAATCACAACACCAATAATATTGATTTTTATATATTTTACATTATAATATTCCAACAAATACACATACATCAGAAATATTTCAAACAAAACAAACTACAAAGTTTGTGCTTTACTCTTTCACTACAAAACTCTGAAGAATGAACAAAAGTGCCACCTACATCTGACAGAACTAATACAGCGTTTGCTGAGCTCATTTACCTTGATCCTGAAGATACATGAGGAATGCACTTTTTTGGCAGTTTCAACTTACAACATTGCCTTAACTTATCTTACACAACTTTTTCACCACAAAATGAAAATATTTTTTAAATTCATTATTAAAAGTGATTTCCTAGAACTCCTATTAATATCTCACAAAGAATACAGCAGTTTTACACCGTAGTAAAAAAGCTAAAGTGCCAGGCTGAAACAAACTATCATACTCGTACTAAGAATATGAATACAGAAATACAGCTTATGACAAGTGAAGCATTTATACTCAATTACCCGACACTCTGGTACCCAGTATCAGTGCAATGTCATCTGAGGAACATGCCACACCCTGACCTGCAGGGTGAGAAAGGATCTTTACAAATGCCCTTTGTGAATAATCTTTCATGGTAACATCTCTGAAAGAAGTGAAATTTGGCAATTTCAGAGAGACACTCTTTGAGCATCACCAGACTTCTAACTCTTTTCATGAGTCTGTAACATATGCTGTTTTGAAGATCCAGAACTGCTCCCATCCGAAATGGACCTATCTTTCTTTTTCATCTGCTCAAGAGCATAGTATCGCAGCATGAGAAAAAATCCTGTTGGAATACAAGGAAATGGAATATCAAGGCAATTTTATATAACAGAATGGAAGCTAATGAGTTAAATTCAAGATTTCTGAAGCAAACATGTAGTGATAAGAAAAAGAAACAAGTTTCAGGGCAGTTTTATTTTTATATGCTGCTACAGGAACTCAGGTTACATTGACACAATAGCCTAGCCATGATTTGACCTTGTTTATTTTGTGATAAAAAAAAACACCTTACCTTGTAAGGAATTGATAATACAGAAGAGGAAGAGAATGGCCTCTGACAGAGGGCCAAAATCCAGGAAACCCAGGCTCCATGTTGTGCCAAACAGACAGGTGAGACCCCATATACTAAGAAAAGCCACATGAATCTTCTTCCAGTCAGGTCGGTTGCGGATCTCACGCACCACAACGAAAAGCATGACTGAACCAGAGCTCACCACAACAGCCAGTAAGCCAACATTAATGATGTAATGAGCCAATAGGCTCTTTTCATTCTTCAACATCCAGCACCTGAATGAACAGAGCAGAGCAGAGTTTATTTTAATTTTTGTATACCGCATAAACGATTATATCTAATAGTCAGTACTCTATATATATGAAGAGTTCAGATGCAAAAGCCTCTAAGTGCCACTAATGAAATGAGCATTTTTATCAGGCTTCTATGTGTAGGTTCAGTAATTTCACTTTAATGGCAATGAATAGGTTCTTTTCATTGCCATTAAAGTGAAATAACTGAAATTAAACAATAGGAGCCTGATAAAAATGTTCATTTTAGAAGAAGATTTCAAGCGGCACTTAAGAGGCTTTTGCATCTGAACTCTTCATATGTCTTCTTACATGTGGTAAGTATTGTTGACATCATCACTTGGTACAATACTCCTTTTGCCATATATATCTCCTGTTAAGAGCAGTATACCAACCAGCAGAACCGGGAGACCTAAAATTGGAAAAACATGAAGTTATTAATTATAATGTTTATATTCATTATATACTCTTCTTCTTGTTTTAAATAATACTTAAATAAATACATAATCATGTTATCACTTACCAAAGCCTCCCAAGTAAAATATCCATGGCGGAAGAGTTGAGTTGAACACCTTGCGGATCAACAAGAATGTGTGAAACACCTCCATAGCCATCCAGCAGAGGGTACTGAGCAGTGCATAATGCAGAAGGGATCCTGTTATCTTGCAAACTATTTCATCTCCTACATTGGCCAGTGCACCAGTAAGAATGAAGAACAAGCACAGAAGAAATATCGCCACCACTAGACCACGGTGCACCAGTGAGATCTGGGTTTTCTTCCCTCTTTTGGTATACAGAGACAAAGCAGAGACAAAACAAGACAACAACAAAAAACGGTGAGATTCACAATAGAATTTTCACTGAACAAGCATTTTTTGTAAGTGTTATGAAATCCAAATCACTGAAGTCACAGTCACCTGCGTTTACAGAGCCAATAGAAGAGAACCAAACAGCTAACTAAGGACACGGCACAGCCCACAGCAGTAATGAATGTCAGAGCCTTTAGATGGCGAACTGTAGCCTTCTGTTCCACTTGCTGAAGCAATGAAGAAAAAGAGACAAGGTATGTACCATCAAGGCTGGTTTAAGAAAAGCCTCAAAGGTTAGCAAAAAAGAGCGTAACTCTGGGAAGAAGACCAGAGGCCATTTTTTAAAAGATTTCAATGGAGCAGTTGTTTCACTATGCTAAATAAACTGCTTTTATGGGAAAACAGCTTATTATTTAATGAGCTGACAGCCTATTGGCTAATCTTCAACATGTTTGCCATTAAACATTCATTCTGGGTTGTTCTGTTTTTAGATTTTACACCAAAAAAATGCTGTTTAATGAGAGAAGTCACAGACAATTTTGCGACAGGTAGGATTCAGTTTGCAGTTTGGTATCCACAAACAGTGACTGTCACAACTCAGAACACAGAAACTCTATGACATCAAGGCTGTGATGTAATTGGTTATCAAGGCACACGTGATCCAAGTTGACCATTGCGCTTTCTCCAATGGTAGAGCCTTGAAACTTGCTTGGTATCTCCCGATAATAAGATCATCTCTGGTATCGTTTCATTTCTATGGCATGATTTGTTAACAAATCTGTCCCACTGGCTATGCATATTCCCAAGCATGAAAGAAATACCTTTTATTCATAAAGATTGTCTCTCAGTGAGAAATATTACCAGCAATGACTAAACTTTTTTTGATTGTCATTTTCTTGGTAACCTGCTACTCACCACAAGAATGGCAAAGTATGTGAGGTGATTACAGCTACATTCTGTCTCTCTGTCATGAATTTCAACAGTCTCACAGCCGTCATATCTCCAATTCACTTCAATATCTGCAGAGAGACACACCAACAGAACAATCAGTAATTGTGCTACAGCTAGCATCAAACATTTGCTTGATGTCTAATACTGAGTGTTGATGTGTCTATGAAAATGAAGACTCGAGCGCACATTGTCTTGTGTCCCATGAAACACATCTTCTAGAATGGTTAGTCTGTGAAATGAAATAGAAGAGGATAGGAGAAATATATCAATTATCAGTTCAAAGAGAGTGGCTTGGCACATACAGTAAAGAGATTCATCAATGCTATTCTTCCTAAGAGTAAATGGCTCTTGCAATTGAAATACCAAAAACAACATCAGCAATTTGATGTTTATCAGGCTTCACCTCACCAGCCTTGTCATGTGGTTTTCAGTGTTAAGGAAATAACAGACACTTAGTCTACTCAGTGGAAAATTATGTGAGCTATAGTTGTTGCTAAGCTTATAAATAGCCTTTTAACATCACAACAAACTTAAGAAAGTATTACTTAAGAAAGTATTTAAAAAATAGTGAACATGCACAAAAAGGCTTACTGGGAGAGGAGAGTGATGAAACCTGATTCTGACAGGTTCTGAGAGGTTTTTGATGCTCTCATTCTCCACAGAGAGTCCAACTATGTCATCCAGAAGAACTGCATCAGACGATCCCCCCTACACAACACAAACACTGTTATGTCATACTGTACATTGCTGTATATATATGTTGGTAGGCCAATGGAAGCTAAATAATCCACATGATTTATGTCTGCTGGACAAATATTGCCATACCTGAAATAATGCTTTGTCTTTGTAGTAAGTACACACCACTTTGGATGTGCTCCTTGACTTTGATTTCAGGCAGGAGGGAAGATAAACCGAGGGTATCATGTTTGGTGCTGCAGTTCGAGGGGCCTGGAATGCAACATTTATATTTATTCATATGCTAGAAAGAGCCCTTCCTGTGACTCAAAGGTTATATGAACTTTCTGCTTCTATAAGGTGAATGTTATTTACTGGCAGAGTGAAATTGAGTCCTGTGAAACCCTCCTTCATCTCAATGACTGTGCTCTGAGCACAAGGTAGATCCAGCCGACCCCTTTCATTGGATTTCATCACTACTTCCTCTATCCTGCAAACACACACAAAAACATACATTTAGACATTATCAACACATGCATAAATGTTATTAACTCTTTCCCCGCCAAACACGGAATTTTCCATGTTTTCACTGTTATATGCTAAGGGGCACTATTACGCATCTCCTGAATGAGTCCAGAATCTCCCGATCAAAAACACAGACGAAGAAGACGCAGAAACAAACAATCTCATTTGTAAGCAGATGCAAACTTACCTACATTTCAAGTGTTGATAAAAAAATTAATGCTTGAAGTTAGAATAAAACTGATTTTTTTTATTTAAAAGTAGAGTCTCTTTATTTTGATGTGTTGCATGTTCATATATTGATAAAAAATGATAAAAAATTTTACTTTTTTCAAAAAAGCTGGCGGGGAAAGAGTTAAAAAAGTAATTTTCACACATTCATATGTGATCAAATTTTTTTTTAAAGTAGGCTATAAGGCGTACTTTCTAATATTTATATATGTAATGGACAGTCCGAGTAGCTGACCAGGTTTACATTTCACTGCAAGTTGTATTGTATATAACCGTGTATGTGACAAATAAAAATCTTTTGTGTTTAATGTATTAAAAATCCAACAATACACTTGGCAGTCCATGCATAAAAAGTGAGCATAATTTAGAAAGCCATTGTAGTCATGGGTTAAGCTTCCTGTTTGCGGCTCACCCTGTTTTTCACAAATACTTAAGCTTGTCATGATTGTGCTCTTATAAGCATGCACAACATCCCCTCTTGCTATCTGCATGATAGACCACATCAGTTCATAACACTCTAAAATAATAGGGAAACTAACAAACTGAAATAAAATGATGATTGGCTCACATGTTTGCTCCACTGGGCTTCTTACTTGCCTCATCACAGAATTTCTTCTCTGCAAGTGGAAAAACAGAAGAAATATATTGAAACTAAAACTAATTACATGCTCAGAAATGCTGAACTCACAAGTGAGCTCAGTCAGTGTATATTGATTTCTGTAGCTTTCAAAAATTGTAATACAACAAAATGTAAAATATTACACTAAAGTTTCGCTGTAAAGATCAGACACCACTGTGGCTTTCCTGCATTTACCGACTTAAAGCACAAACATGCATCAAACCTGTTGTGGCATTATGCAAAACACACCACCTGCAAGCTACCCGATTCGGTCTGATGACGAAACTATTTAATGTGCTTTACCACTGCTGCTACTATTATGAGATGTGTTCTAGAACAACTAAATTACTATGAAATTGCATGCGTGCATAAACAAAGAGTATGAGAGACACATAAGTGAGATAAAAGAAATACTAATAGAAAATGACTGCTAACTGTGTAGAAAGAGCAATGATAAAAATATCTAAACAGCAAATGTGCACATACATACTTCCTTTCACCAGACTGAGTTGACAAAATTTTGCAACATATCTGATTAACCGACTATCGCAGGGGTGTCCAAACTCGGTCCTGGAGGGCCGGTGTCCTGCAGAGTTTAGCTCCAACTTGCCTCAACACACCTGCCTGGAAGTTTCTAGTATGACCATGATTTGCTGGTTCAGGTGTGTTTAATTGCGGTTGGAGCTAAACTCTGCAGGACACCGGCCCTCCAGGAGCAGGATTGGACACCCCTGGACTATCCCATACAGTGTCAAGAATATGTGTGAGACATTTCTGAAAGTGTTTTGACACAAAGGTAGCCTATACTTACACTGTGGCGACAAATATTCTTGGGTTTAAGGGAAGTTGTCTGTTTTTAAAGGAAATATTCATGTGTAATTTTGGACTTACTGGACACTATTTTGACAGCCTTTTTGAAAAGGAATCATTTTCAAAATGGAAAAAAAGAAACCAAAACAAACTAAAACCTTCCTGTAATGAAAACAACCTACACAACAGCAGCTGTCATCTTCTTGCTTATGTTGTGGTTAGTCATTTAGTTTCATAGTTTTTCCACCCACACTGGCCAACGAATACTGCAGGCCCCAACAACAATGCACTACTTGGATGCAAACCATCAATCAATCATACTTTTTTTTTAACTGTATATAGCACCTTTCAAACACATCCAATGCAATTCAAAGTGCTTTACAAGCATAAACCAAAAATTGACACAAAATACAAGCAATGAAAATAATACAAATATATAACAAAACAGTAAAATGTTAGAATGGAAAATCCCAAATGTACATAACTGACAAGAAAGGAAAAAAAACTAAGAAGAAACAATTATTTCAATGAAAACCATCAAATGTGAGCTGCTAAACAGAGGATTCTGGGAATGCCAATTTACATATTTCCACTGTACATTATAAGATGAATTGTTCCTTTTCACTTCCAAAAACTGCACATTGAAGTATTTTACATAATTTTTTTAAATCGCATGAAATGTCCACTTAGATCTATAACTTTTTTATGTCTTCTAAAATTACAGTAATTTTTTACATTATATATGTATGCTATACTTCGCTGAAATTGGGAACAATAATAAAATGCAGAAATTGTGTCTTTGTCCAAACATATTTATGCATTTTGTATATCAATAAGATATTTGTAGCATTTTTATAATTTTATCAATAAGCGATTTCGATTTTTAGACCCCTTAACCTACCCCCAAACCTAAACCTAGCCATTTTCTAGCGAAAAGACATAAAACAAAAAATTACCATAGTAGTAACACTATAGCATTAAAAATATATTTTGAGTCACTAATCCCTCTCCTACTTGTAAACCTATCCATAACCATATCTAAAAACAATATGTACAGTATAAAGAAAAACATGATAGACAGACAAGTGCAATCACAATAGAGCGTTTGCACCTTCGTCACGGTTTGGTCAGTTACCCAGATGCACGGCCATATTGGAGACACTCGGATGTAAACAACAGCATGGATTGCATGGTTAATGTACTACTGAAGATGTTGTTTACTAATTTATGATGTCTAAACCATGGAAATAACATGTGGAAGCTGCTAAATCATATAGAGAAGGACTTAGTAAGCAGGAAAGGGCGTGGAATTTTTACAAATTAAAGTTAACAGGTGGTAAAGATCTGTACGAGCTGGCTCCTTTGGCTCCTAGAATACAATAATAATAATTATAGCACCATTAACTAAATGTTAATTAGTTGTGGCCTAATGGTTAGAGAGTAGGCCTTGTAACCTGAAGGTCACAGGATCGAGTCTCAGTACTAGCAGGAGTTGTAGGTGGGGACATGAATGTACAGTGCTTTCTTTGCTCTGGGCATTTGAACTAATGTTTGCCTACTGCTCTGGGTGTGTGTGTGCACTTGGATGGGCTAAATACAGAGCATAAATTCAGAGTATGGGTTACCATACTTGGCAAATGTCACAGCTTTCACGTTTTTCCTCAGAAAGTTTTTTTGCACTCTTCTCCTTGATTTGTTATAACTTTTGTCAGTCTATAGTACTCCATATGTTTTTCCCGGTCTCTCCGATTAGTACAGCCCAAAACACGACAATAATTGAACTTTTTCAGCAGCAATAATCAGCAAAATTAGGAAGTTCCGTCCGGTTCAATGGCATTGTTTACGTTCAGTGCCGCCAACATGGCCGACTTCCAGATTAATGATGTGTCGTGAAAACACTGAAAACTAATTATTTATTTATTGCAAACATGTCAAGAGCAGTACCAAAAGTAATCCAAATGACGAGGTGCAGTCCTCTCTGATGTGAGTTTTGTGTGAGGTGCAGAATTTAAGATGTTAATCGCTGAAAATATTATCCAGATTATTATCAAGATCCACTCCAGGAAGGCGCGCATTTCTCATTCAAACAAGACAGGGATAGCTGCAGGTTGGAGTAATGGGCGTGACAAAAGGTGGGGTGCCGAAAGGTGAATGCCACAACAGAAACTAACCCCTAACTCTAACCAATTAGAAACACCTTTCGACGCCCCCTACCTTTTGGCATGCCCTAATCTTTTGCCACGCCCACTGCTCCACCCTGCAGTTATCCCTACTTCATTCAAACACACCTCACCAGTAACACGGCACGTCGCAATCTCCGACAAAGCAGGCGAGAGCCAATGAGTGTTCGATTTTCCTGCCATTAAACCTGTTGTAAAGCTTCTTGAAGCTGCAATTTTTGAATTTGTGATGAGTGTGTTGTTGATGATTACGGTCGCTGCTCAGGATGGAGATGAAGATCGCTGAATAAAGGCTTGAGTTTGGGTCTGTTCCTCGCAGTCATATCGATTCTGAAGATTTGGATTACAGCGCAAGAATAAAATTAATTCCTTTTGTTATTACGTGCGTTTGCATTTTATGGTTCTATTGTCAGTCACAGTACGTCGGAGAAAACGCCTTTTGTGTCTCATGGCAAACAAAGTAAATATTATTACATGATAATTAATGGTTAGGCGATTGCAGAAATGTTATTAATTTTAAGGGTTTAAAGCAGGGCTGTCCAAACTCGGTCCTGGAGGGCCGGTGTCCTGCAGAGTTTAGCTCCAACTTGCCTCAACAGACCAGGTTTAGACCTTGATTAGCTGGTTCAGGTGTGTTTAATTAGGGCTGGAGCTAAACTCTGCAGGACACCGGCCCTCCAGGACCGAGTTTGGACAGCCCTGGTTTAAAGTGTAGTCTTGTTCAACATTATTCTTCTAAACGAGTTGGCAGCAGAAATCACACAGAACAACAAAATGTTATCATTTCATATTAAGTAAATGAGTAAACTTCATTTATAAATGCAGTTGAAAGCATAATGCCATTAATATGACAACTGAATGCAATAAAATGTTAATGCCGCAATTTCAATATTCATAAGGATTAATTTGTAAGTCTGCGAAGTTGTTCACATGTAAATTATTTACGTTTTAGGTGTTGTCAATATGTATTGCACGTTTAGATGCTGTAAATACGCCAGTATAGTATTGTACGCTTCAGTGTCTGTGAAAATGTAAGTAAATGTATGTTTTGTAGAACCACATTTAATGTAAAATACATACAAATTCTCATGAGATCACATTGAAAGATGATGGCTCAATCGGGCTATAACAGAGCAGACTACTGACTACCACTGAGAGTACCCAGTTCCTCTGTGCTAGGTTTGAGAAGGGTGCGTCTCTGCCTCCGCCCTTTTTGGCCCTCTCTCCCTCTGCCATTGTTCCAGCTATGTGGACTTCACAGCAGTCAAAGAATGTCCCTTTTCTCTCCAAGCACTGCTGAAAGGAAGCTGGTGAAGTCCATTTATTCAAACGGGGCATGTTGCCAGTTTTAAACTGTGCAAATAAAGGAATTTTTGCTCAAATTCATAACATTTTCTCGCCATTACTATGTTATTTCCCACTCCACAGCCATTAAAAAAAACTCACTCAATCATATAACACTTCTTCTTTTAATTATAATGACTGTGTAGACAATTGAGACGCAAACTCCTGAGCCTATTTTTTTTCTCGTGCTGATAAAATCTCTTGAAATGATTCAACATGTTTTGAAGTCCTATCTAAGCCTCAAGAGAGACAAACCACAGAAGACTTGCATTATTTCTACAGTATTTCCATGGCCAGTGTTGTGTCTAGCAAAGCTAACAACCTGCACAGAACAAGAATGTGAACTTTGAGATGAACTAGGTCAATCTATTGTGCTTTTCTTTTGTGACATCATTGCCAGACAAAAAAAGCGAGAGGTCTGTCAGCTCGCCTCATTCTGAGCTGAACAGACAAGTAGCAGGGGCTGAGGGCAAAGGTCTTTCAACCATTTAGTGGCGACCACATTGAAGCAAAGTCGCATTGCATTACAGCAAAAAACTCGTTGGTGTTTAGTTGCACAGATCAGCCGCTGTGGTTCAGACAGGAAAACCAACATACACTACAAGACATGAAGAGAAGCTCAAATGAAAACATATCTGATTGCAATTTCATGAGCCCTAAACAC